TCGTCTAAATCGAGAAAGAGCTTGATTTCGAAGCCTTTTCATAAACTTAATGTTATCTGTGATCTATGGACTGTATGGTCTTTATCGAAGTGTCTGTTAAAAATGATACCTTATGATCGATGTCATCTATTTGATATATGTGATCCCAAGGCGACGACTCAATGTCAGTCTGAAACAGAGCTAGATTTATTCGATGTAACAGACTTTGTTAGTCATTCTCATTTTTCGCACTAACATTATTTGCCATTTTGAACCATTCCGTAATAAAAGCTAAATATCAAAAAATGGTGTCGGCTAGGTTGACTCTGCACTTCCAACGCAACGCTGTCATCAGTTCATAAAGGACACAAGTTAGTTTCTCTGAGAGAAAAGTTATGTACGAATATGTATAACAAATTAATTAAATAGATCAAGTCCCCCTATCCTTCCGACAGCACCGACCATATGGCAACGTTGCTATGATCAACCTCGTCGCCTGCCACTTGTCAGCCATCCGTCTCCATCAGTCAAGATATGATTAAGATATCGATCAGACCTCAACGTTAGATGGGTTGCGTTTTAAAGTTTTAAAGCCTATAAAAATAGTAGCGGCAAAAAATTCTGATACACGCCTCACAACAACCAACCCACAATCATTAGCCTCTACAAATATTTTTCTGAAAATGATGAGTCTCTGCAATGTCCAAAAACGAAGTTTGAGCGATATTAATTTTTGTCGATTGCTTTGCCCCTAACTCCGCCGCTACTGGGCCGATCTTTAAAAACTATATGGCTTTTTTGTCCTTGACAGACTGTCAGACCAACAGACAGACTGACGGTAATGAGTAACAAGATTTTTCGTGATGTACATATCATATACCTGTATTACATCTAAAAAACATATCCTATTTTCGATTTTTTTCGCAATTAAAATACTACCTCTCCAGTTGCGTAGGAAGTAAAAATGGGACTTTTGGGCCTCATCAATTTAAGGCGCCAGAGCGTCCGCCGTCTCATTGCTCCTTATCCCAGCGTGGCCCGGTACCCACATTAACGATACCGGATGCCTCGCTACGAGGCAATCCAGAGCCTCCCTGCATTGCAATACAAGACTCGAAGTAATTTTACAAGCACTTGGTGTCTTAATTGCAGCCTGGCTGTCGGATAAGATTGTTATTCTTCTCCTAAGCCCACCCTCCTCCAGAATGCGAGATTCACAAGCCAGAATCGAAAAGATTTCCGCCTGGAAAATAGTGGTGGATCCACCGAGAGGCAGAAATGGCCTAGTTCTAGGCCCAGAGACCCCAGCACCTGAGCCAATCCAGGATAATTCCCAGATATTCCACTGACTGGGACAAAACTAATCTAGTCTTTTCAGCATTAACAGAAAGATCGACTTCCCTACACCACGATTCCACGGAGCGCAGAGTGCCCTGCATAATTTCAGAGACTGTTCTACAAAAACGTCGCCTAACTACTATGCTTAAGTCATCAGCATAGGCTTGCACGTAGACACCCATACTGCTGAGCCTAACGATGAGTTCGTTCACCACGATGCACCACAGTAGGGGTGACAGAACTCCGCCCTGAGGGCAGCCTCTAGCTACGCTGACGCTGCAACTTACGTCATTCAGCATAGCTTTGGGGTAATTCGGAACTCTGATTTAGAATATGACCAAAAAATGATTAAGTATCGCGAAAATCTATTAAGAACAGGAAATTGGTAATTTTTGAGGCTCCCACCAATCTCAGCGAAATAATGACATCTATCTAAGGAACAGGTTATGGGATTGACGATAAATTTTGGAAATCTTCAATTTAAAATTGGAAGCTTCTCAAAGCAATACTTCCAATTTCTTCACGGATTACTACAAGCGAACAAAAATCTTTACTCCAGGGTCCAAATATGAGACGCTGATTTCTAATATGACCATAAAAAGAGCCTTAGCAAAGGAGTAATCTTCCCAAGCTATAGGCGGTCCAAATATTAGCGGACAGAAAGACAGACCGACGGGAATGAGTGGCATGGTTTTTCGTGATGTACAAGTCATATAACATCCAAAAACCTGATTATCTCATTTAGAAATATTTCGCGATTACAATAGACCAGTGGCGATGTAACTGAAAAGCCGATTTGAGGCTGGCTTATACAACATCTCTCAGTATCAGTCATGCCCATATACACAAGTTTAACAGTTGAAATGCTTATTGTTTATGAATGCGTTTATACAACTTGGGTGACTGCAAAAAGTCCGACTTGTATCAAGTAATCCGAAAATGTTTATCTTGGGATTTTTCTGGTACATAATTACGAGTCTACTACATAACTACTATATTTTCAAGATAGCGTGTACTGGATCCGATACCAAAGGTATTCGAACTGTATACTAAAACAAGAGTATTTTTCTCAAAACCCATAAAAAAGTAAAATTTTTCCAGCTTTGTGGTTAAGCTTTTCATGACACAGAATGTATAATTTTGGAAATTTTTTGTCCTGAGAAAATTTGCTACTCCCGCTCTTCAAAGAGCTTTAATGGCAGATACACTTACGAGGTCTGTAAATTAAGTGATGAGACAGATTTTTAATTTAATCATTCAAATGTAATTACAATTTCATATTGTCACCCTCAAAATGACTTCCTTCTGAAGCCACACACAGCTGGATTCGGTTCTTCTACTTCTCATAGCACTTCCGATACTGGAATAGCCTCCAGCTGGTTACAGCCGTTTGAATGGTTTCGAATTCACTTCAAGTGATTTTTCAACTTTGGCAAGAGAACAAAGTCACAAGGACCCAAGTCAGGCGAATAACGAGTCTGACAGGCCACAGGAATGTTGCCAAAAACTCGATAATTATCATGATGCATCAACCAGTTGTTCTTCATCTGATCAGTGGTGGTGTGAGTCAATTGTGACTCTTCCCCGATCATTCTGATTGTCAACCGACGATCTGGACGCATAAGATCCTGGATTCAGACGAAGGCATTCCACTTCTTCAATTCTTCTTTCTGAAGATTCCCTGAACCATCGAAAAACATCACATGTTCCCCTGTACCCCGTCCAGTCCCGGCACCTCCAGTTTTGCCAGATCGAACGCTACGTTGCCAGTCTCACCAACTTAATTTACAGACCAGAAAAATTCCTGCAGAAGCCCATGGCGCTGATATTGTTGAATGAAGAGGGAAGCGTTTAAACTGTATTTTGAGGCAGAAAGATGTAAAACTTCTAGATTGAATGGTACCCTCTACTTACTTGTGGTATTTTGTCGGCTCTAAAAGGTACCATTCGTTATAAAACGTTAAAACGCGCGAATTAATACAATTATACTAAGTGACATATAAATCCGAACACCCAGTTTAAATGGTTTTATTTTAATAAAAGTTGGTGAATGTATTTATCTTACTGTAAATAACAAGTGAAAAAATGTTCAGCCTTATCAGTTTTACATTCCGGTTTTTATACTGCTTTTTTTTAATTCACTAACGCTCTAAAAATGAATATTTCAGCCGCAGTGAAGAATCAACGTTGGCGGATTTTGGTTCTTGACATCCTTTACGATCGGTTACGATGCCTAGAGTACGGAGACCTGTACGATTTCGTCAACTTAGTGAGTTTGATAGGGGACGTATAGTGGGACTTCGGGAAGCTGGACTTTCTTTTTGGGCAATTGCAGTTAGAGTGCAAATAAGTGTAGACACTGTGGTTAGGTGTTGTCAGACATGGCTTCGAGAAGGCCGTACGCAAAGAGCAAGGGGGCTGGATGCCGCCGTAGAACAACAGACCGTGAAGATCGCCGCCTAAGATTATTGGCCTTAAGGGACCGTTTCTCCACTACCAGGTCCATTGCAAATGAATGGTTTGCAGAACACGGAAGACCTATTGGCATGCGAAGTGTTTACCGACGAATGAGAAGTTTTGGCTTGTTTTCATACCGGCCACACTGGGTCCTCCCTTTAACTCGAGAACACCGACGTAATCGCCTTGAGTGGTGCAGACAACGGTCACTCTGGGATCAGGAATGGAACAGTATTGTCTTTAGTGACGAGTACCGATTTTGTTTAGGCATGCACGATGGTCGTGCCAGGGTTAGAAGGCGACGTGGTGAAAGGAGGAATCCACAGTTTTTTGTTGAAAGACATGCTCATCACACTGTTGGAGTTATGGTTTGGGGTGCTATAGCTTATGGTTCCAGGTCACCTTTAATCTTCATCAGAGGTAACATGAACGCGCAGCGTTATATCCACGAACTTCTAGAACCCCATCTTTTACCCTATCTTGACACCCTGGCAGATCCAACTTTCCAACAAGATAATGCCTGACCACATGTTGCAAGAGTCACAATAGACTTCTTTCAACATAATGATGTCACATTGTTACCATGGCCACCAAGATCTCCCGACTTATCCCCAATTGAGCACTTGTGGGATATGATGGGTAGGAGATTGCTCAATTTGCAACGTCCTCCTCAGACTCTAGAAGCACTTCGAGAGGAGCTGATCAGAAGCATGCCTAGGCGCGTTGGAGAATGCGTAGCACATCAGGGTGCATCACACATTATTAAAGGTCAAAGGGCTTTAAAGCAGTGCAATCATTTTGAAATTTTTATCATTTACTTATTATGCTTCATTAAGTACTTATTAAAATAAAACCATTTAAACTGGGTGTTCGGATTTATATGTCACTTAGTATAAATAGTATATATATACCGAGTTAATTCTAAGCTGTCTTCCTACGTCGACACACCGAAGAGCCGTTACTCTCTTTTTACCTGCTATTCCATTGATAAAAAAAAACGCATACCAGATGTAAGCAACTTCAAAACAATAAAACATAAATACATTGTCGCTATTGACACATTATAAAATAATGCATGAGTCATTTTCATTTTTCGCATTCAAACGCTTCGGTTTTGTTTCGTAACGAAAATCCACACTTTCACTTCCTTGTTGTTCGCTTTTTCCATCAAAATCCTAGTTTTATCGGACTATGCTCTCACAAAAGGCAAATCATTAACAAGCAACACGTACAATCACAAGGGGACTAGGATCCACTCGCACACTCGCAGTACTTGCAGTTCCCAAGTGGTACGGCAGCGATCAGCAGAAATGACCGACGTTGCGTTGTCGCGACGTCGATTCAGAGTGAATCACAATTGAATATTTCCCTACAATTCGCCTGCTGTATCGTTAATCTTTTGTCTATATCTATATTTGCGTTTATATAACAGATATCGTTGCCACTACTATTCATAAGCACGTCACCTATTGGTGCTTTCATGTTCGTGCGTTCAGCAGGTGTTAAAAGCGGCAGGTAGAAATGTACATCCTTTGTGCTTTGATTTTGCTGTTTTGTTGCAGAAACATTGACGGTAAGTTCACTTCTGACTACCTCGAATTAAAACGGGAGAAACCAGGGCCAACAGAACACTCCTGGCAAACCGAATTCCTACTTATACATCCAAACCATGAGTAGGCATGACCAAACAGTACATATTTGTCTACCTTGCTTCAATAATCGGCAATAATTGTAGATAAGGATCCTATGAATGGAGATTCAGCTTAGGAAAAGTTGCGTCTTTTACCGTAGAAAATTTCATGGCTTACTGAGATATTTTGGGAAAAATAAATTATGGCAAATCATTTTTTTTAACTGTATTTTGAAACATATGAAAAAACTGATGGAACTTTTCCATTGTCACTTTTAGGCACTACTTACACTTTTTAAATTTTGTTCGTGACGGTTCGTTTTTGAGAAACAAACCATCATTAACTTAATTTTTTTATATAGTATGTCCTGTATCTAATAGCATTTTTTATACAAAAAATGCGTTTTTTTCTGATTTTTTATTTTTTTAAGTAGGCGTTGCAAACAGATGCTTGACTGTGACCAAGTATTGCTATTATTGTGTATTGTTAATATTGCAAGATTATCGTCAAAGATGCCAGGCGGTCATTTTAGCAATGAAGAAATGTTCGACATGCTGATCTGCTCCATTTTGTGATACAAAAATACTAAAAATACTGCAGAAATGTATCTTGATAAATTTTCCGAAAGAAGGCAGCCATGCAAGTCCATTTTCTTAGAGTTGACTCGAATTTTACATGAATTTTATTAATTCAAAAAGCCTACTGCTGTTACGTTTCAAAAAAGGAACCTTGAGAGACTCAGAATAGTGTTTTGCAAGTAGTTGCTGAGAACTCTGAGATATCAACTAGGCAAATTTAGCAAAATGTAGAGTAGCTAAATCCACAGCCCAATTTATTTTGCGTAAAAATAGATAACCCTATAAATTCAGGATTTGCCAATGACTTAGACCAGGGGATAGCGAACTGCGAATTTATTCATTATTCTGAAATCACTAGATTAATCGTCGTTTTATCAAATTTTACTACCTATGTAATATGTAATATACAGGGTGTTCCTTAATGATCGGCATGATGGTGCACCAACGCATTTCAGTGTAACGGTTCATAATTATTTACAAACTGTTTATCCAAATCGTTGGATTGGCCGCGGTGGGCCCCAAGAATGGCCACCAAGGTCCCCAGACCTCAACAGTTTAGATTTCTATTTGTGGGGCTATCTTAAGAACACAAGTCCCATTAACACTGTAGAGGAATTAAGAGAAAGAATAGTTGCAGCTTGTGATAGAATAAAAAACACTCCAGGGATATTCTCAACGAGTGCGCAATTCCATGAGGAGGAGGGCGGAAGCATGCATACTAAGTGAAGGGGCCCATTTTCAACAATTTTTGTAATCATTTCGTTGGTTTCAATGTTAGGGTTATGTTGTCAGTAATTGTTATTCATTACCCCTAATGTGTTTAATTTTTCCAACTAAATTAATGATAATTTTGCAAGTTAGACAATAGAACGGTTTTTATTTTTTTACTCAAAAATGGCGCATTAAAGGAAAACAATTCAAGATAGATCATTTGTTTTAAATTGAACGGGGAGTTCAAAAATAATTTTTAGTTGGCAAAATACCATCGGCGTATATTTATTTCTTAAGAAATATCGAAGTCAATACCCATACGCACGCCACTGTTGAAGCTAAAAATTATTTTTGCATTGAAAAATATTCAACTTTATCAACTTCCACTATGTACTAAATATCAGTGAAATATCTGAAGCGGTTCTGAAAATATTAATTAATTTCCATTTTTTTTCCTAAAACTTTAACACCCCGAGTTTTTGTAAGGAAACATTTTTGGACCATAGTTCATAAAGCAAACTAACATTAATTTTTCATGTAGATTTACACCCTTAAATATTCGCATATCATTAAGGAATACCCTGTATAATATGCATCTACCAGTAATCACCTGATCTTAAATCAAGCATTTGTTTGCAACGCCTATTTGAATAAAATAAAAAAATAATTTTTCCTTATAACTAAGAAAACAAATGAGCGGTACAGGCAAAGAAGGTGTTATGTCAAAATAAGGAGTTTCGAGAAAAACGGGTTTGAAGGTTTAAGCTCTCTGGTGCTTGTTTATTTTGGGAAAATGAAAGGTGAAAAATTATTTAATAATGTATTGGGGCATCATCGTAGAGACAGTTAAATGCAAATAGATAAGAAACAAATTTAATGAACATTTTTACGAAAGGCGTGGTCCAGTCAACTTAATATACTAGGTACTAGTAAGCTTAATTTTGTTATTGTAACAGAGAACTTAAAATCTACATGAACAACAGTAAACATATTTTTTTATGTGTAAGACGATCTGGTGAATTTCACCAGTTGTTAAAAGTTTCATTTAACCTGGATCCAAAACATTTTTTAGTGCAATCGTGTACAAAAGGCTTGCCATAATGTGTAATCATAAAAGTCATGCATCAGTTTTTCTTCTATAAATGGGGCAGATGGTTAAAGTAGTCTTGAGCTGCTGAGTTAGAAAAAATTTTTTGGTGTTGGAGATTATTCCATTTCCTATTACTTATGGGTAGAAGCACTAAAAGGGAACAAACTTCTGCTATCATAGGGACGTTATAAAACTAAATATGCGTATTTTACCTTCGTGTAGCTTTCGTTGTCTTCTAACCTGATAGTAGTTTTACATTTAAGATTAGTGACAACAGTAGTTTCCCATGTACAATAATTGTAGCTTGTGTGTTACATAGCACTTTTTTCACCGGAACCGCGCGGGGTTACCACCTTCTTAGCCTAGCTAGAGAAACTCAGTAAGCCATGAAATTATTAGAAGGAACGCAGCTTTTTCCTAATTTAACCTAAGCAGTATCTCCCACAGGTATCGAGATCCGCATTGTATAGGATCCTTATTTTGGACACTCTGTATACAAAGCGAATATGGCAAAGTGAATACTGTACTTGACCGTTGATTTTTGTTGTTATAATTGGTATTTTGCTGCAGAAAATTCTAAATGAAAATAAAACAAATCAGGGGTCCCGATCTGAAAAACAAAACAAACCTCAATAGATTTGTATAATAGATAAACGCACCCGGGAAAATCAGTGATGGCATAAAGAATGTTCAGAATATGGGAGCGTTGACGGTTGTTCTCCTCAGTCTATGCTGGGTGTTAGAAAAATAGACGGAGATACTTTAGATGATTCCTTGTTAAAAAATATTAAAAAAGTTTCTTTAAACCTGGATCCGGAAAAAAATCTTTTTTTATTAATATCTTGAAAAATGTTTACTCGATTCTTGAGAAATTTGGCAATATTATTTGTTGTATTAAGAGGCTAATTTAATATTAAATAGATTAAAATTATTAGGTGCAGTGGCGTCCCGGGGCACCTTGGCTAGTGCTATTGGCAAAAAGTGTACTCCACTGCCTGTTTCGTAATTTCAATATTTTTTTTGTTTGATTAAGCATCTAAAAATACAACTTCTTAGCCGCTTGTGTTTTTTTCGTATCTCACTTCGTTTTCACGAAAAAAAAAATTAATGGCCGTTTTATTCCAAGTCACTGGACAAAATTGGTTTAGTAATTTTTGTTACAAAAATACAAGTGTTTTGGAAAACAAAAGGTCATTTCTGCATGGATGTTTGACATTTGCGCATCAGTTCTTCTAGAAAAAAATTATCCACGCAATTTTCTTTTCTCTAAAACTTTTTTTTAATTTATCACCCTGTACTTTGAAAACTCTGCATGTTTATAGAAACTTTTCTCATATTTTTTAACAGGGAATCATCCTCTAAAATATCACCGTCTATTTTTCGAACACCCTGTATAATATTTTGTAATAAAGTCAATTTCTTAGCCAGTTGCAATATGTATTCACTCTACCGTGTGTTTGGGTAAAGTGGATAATCTTCACCTCTTTGTATTATGTGCTTGATAGCTACAATCAGCTAAGCATTATGGTTTCTTTTTTGGAGAATAAATAACCGTTTCGAATATTTTCCTTAATCTTATATTATTTATGATTTCTGTAACAATAGAAGAACACTTTAGGTATTAGCTTAATAGTATTTGTGTCATCCATGTTTTAATAAAGCCTAAAATTATGTGAATCTACATATTGAATTCTCCGTTCATTATACAGTATCATAGCGCGACATTTTATAATACAAGTTTTTGCAATTCACAATGCAACAGGTACCGTGACGTTTTTCAGTGACTACGCACGTCGTGCGCGGCGATCGATTCAGTCGCCCCACTATGCATTTCGCTCCCGGCGAAGACTCGTTTGTCGCCCAACTCCAGTGGCCCGATTTCAGGATTTTCAACTTTGAAATTTGTGTCATGTATCATAGATGCGCTTTGGGGCAGTGCAGAACTTCGAACCAGTATCTATTAGGATGCTCAATTTTATGGAAAATCCACAGGATGCCGTCCTGGAATATGACTTGAAAATATATCGTCGGTCTCCGCACGTACAGGCGTAAATGACAAATAATCTAAAATCGAGTTATGCCGTAATTTCACAGATTTTTCTGTAGTCTCTTACTTCACGAAGTGACTTAGCTGTATATCACTTCGCTGCTAAGAATTAAAATTTTCTGAAAATTGCCTAAGTTATAAAATTCCGAAAACAATTTTCACGTACCGGCTTAAATAGATTTACGCCTCTGCGTTAAAACTGGTTCTACATCATTTTAGTCTAACAAAAAAAAACCGCAACGTTCAGACTAAAAAATCAGTATGTCATTTTCAATCTCATTTATTGCTGATTTTCGTTTTCTAGCTCTCCTGTAAAACTTGTAAAATGTTAGTTACGCCGGTACGTGCGGAGACCGACGATACGTACTCTTTTATGGGGCTATATTTACGAGTATCTTGAACACTCAACACTCATGTACTAGTATAGTAGTCTTTAAAAACAGAAATATATGTATCTATGCTGGTTCAGATCATTTGAACACGTAGTAATAAAAAGTTCTGGAAAATTACATAAAA